TAGCAGCATTAGACACTGGGGCAAATAAAGAATGATTAGAGATAAACTTAACTTCAAAATATCATCTCGCAACAGTTGTTTTAATGCCAACATTTTCTGCTTAGGAATACATAACGTTATTGAAGACATGCCGAACGTAGGCATAAGCAAATAGAGCAATGATTCCAGTACCATCTCATATAACTTTAGCCAACCTCAACTTTATTGAGTACCGATCGATCGACACGCTGATCGGTTCCTATTGTGTTTGTAAGCTGCTTTGGCACTTTAGCATAAAGCAGATAACAAACTATTATGGCAAAAGACACAACTTACTGTTGGTTGAGCCCTGGAAGAGCAGGTCAGTTAGCCCATCAACAACCCATAGGAAGTTCAAAAATGTCATCCCATCTGTTCCGAACGTGCGACGGAACACAATACGCGAGGATTTCGTAGGTAGTTTATAATGGGTCTGGGTCTAACAGTTATTTTTAAAGGACAGATTTTTAGCTATCAACAGCAATTTAGTTTTACATTTTTTCGGACAATGTCTTTAGAATTTCTAAGTTTCATTTAGTCTCCAATAACTACTCCGTCATAAACAGCGTTTTTCCCGAAGGGTCACCGAGGATGGACCTCGGTTCCGTCCTAGCGGTACTTTTTAGGACAACGTGTGTGTCACCTGGAGGGAAAAATCCCGGCGTTGCCGACCTTCGAGATCCTCCCGTACTCATCGGTATTTTTCCCACCCTCTTCTAAAAAAGGCGCGCTCAGGGCGCAAAAGTGGGTGGGCCCAAGTCAAGGGGCATGTTGATTGGAAAATCAACGTTTCTAATGAGAACCAATCAGCATGCCTCCTTGCACTTCCGACGTTTCAAGGAAGCGAAGACGAAACGCATCGTCAGATCACCAATACAAGTCATCCGAGCCGCATCGAAGAAATAACAGTAGTGTCACTCGTTTCGGACACAAATTACAGAAGTTAATACAAAGTCATTCGTTTCGGACTTAGTAAAAATTAAGAGTTACTCAAGTCAATCGGTTCGGACTCATTTTCAAATATTATTCAAAAGATTAATTTCTTTTGAATAAACGTGCGCGAGTCAGCACACCATCATATATTGCATGCTATTATACAGGGTGTCCACGCCTAAGTGTGACAGCGCGATATTTCATGAACTATTTGTTAAATGCTCATGTCCACCGTAACGATAGTCGAGCTTTGTAGGCGTTATGCACGCTTGTGCCAACGAAAGCTAATGTTCTAACACTCGAAGGACCACCCGATACTTCGGGAAAAAATGACTAAGTGTCTAGGTTTGAAAATGTTGTGCTAGTTTTATTCTAAGTCCAATACTGTGTTCTAATCGAGTACTATTTTCTATCTATGTTGCTTTCTATCAAGTTTCTATCTAGTTTCTATCTATCAAGTTTTCTATCAAGGTTCTATCTGTCTAAAATGTGTAAAACTATATCCGAGGTAACCTCGGTAAGGATGTACTTGGCGGGGGAGGAATGTTCCGATTGGGTGACAAAAATTATGAAAACCAGGGAAGGGAGGTGAAAGTTAACGCCCTTCTTGGGTTTTTCCCAGTCGCTACTTATGACTAATTTTGGCCCTTGACCGTGGCAAGTAATAAAGTCAAGCAGCGCGCTGACCAGCTATGTATGACTAATTTTGGCCCTTGACCGTGGCAAGTAATAAAGTCAAGCAGCGCGCTGACCGTGGTAAAACATTCGAGAAATAACGGACTAGAAAGTTAGAAATGATGGTACCTGGTGACCATATGCGAAACAAAGGAACACGAACGAAAAAAGCTACGGTAAGAATCGCGGGTCTTTATGGCTTCATGAGTTTACTGCTGCCACGGAACGTTTTGCAAAATTTCAAGGGACCAGCTATAAATCAACTAAAAACTAATACTATGAATTTACAAACTAGGATAAGCTAAATATTTACAGGTAAAATATATGACAACTCTTAACACTATTAATGATACGAAAAAGTGTTTATACGAAAATTGTAAGATAAAAGGGGCTCTATGTTTTGGCGTAAACAAAATTCTTTTAATGTTTTTAATGTAAAATATATGATAGTGAAGTTTTGTTTTTTAAATGAAACTGTATATTTTTTCGACCAGACGATAGTGCTTTTCAAGACGAATCCATTAAGATATAATGTATTTAACCGATTCTTATTAGTTTTCCAGATATAACGCTTAGAAATTTACTGATTTCAGCAAAAACGTCACAATTTGAGTAGTAAGTCATAAAAACGGTGTTATTGTTGCGGTAAGTGCCGCATGTTTGACTCTGCCTGCCGAAACCGATAACCGAGGGTCTACGGTCCCAACGGTAAGTCCGAAGAGTAAGAAACGTGGAAAGAATACTGTAAAGTACTTTTTAAAGCCATCTTTTATCGTTTTATAAGATGTAAGTATATTTTTAAATGAAATTGATTCGATCTAAAATATATGCGTATCTGAAGTAAAGCAGTTTCCTAAATTGGACCAATGATCCTGCGTCGAAAATATCTTTTGTAACGAGCCAAATAATGTTTCAATCTATGCATTATTTACAGTGGTAAAACTTAGATCTATGCATTATTTACAGTGGTAAAATTTAAAAAACTTTCCTGTTCAAAAATTATAAATACGTTTCCTTTATATAGGTATTTTCGTAAATAAAATAGATATCAGTAAATAGCTGTCAGAAAGTGCTGATGATAACAACTGATAGTTTAATTCAAACTAATCTACATATGCTATCATTATAATACACGTATTTCATAATTATGTCAAAAGTTCGTAGGTATTATAATTTCAAGTACGTTATTATACAATATAGAAAACTGATTGTATTATACCACATGATGCGCTGGACTAGTCGGTCCATTTTGCGTATGCGCTTCAGCTGCAACGGTATGCAAAGTGTTAAAAATAGTAGCAGACCGCACGCCTGTCTGACCTTAAATAACTGCATAACACACAGCGAAGATTAATCCTTCCGTTACTAAAGCTGATTAAACTCAGCTTATTGATAGTTAACAACAAATGCCGTGCAGTTCGATATAGTTAGGAAAACCAATATTCTATTTTAATTATTATATTCAATTATCTTTATAATCGCCTGCATAACGATATAAGAATTTGCACTAGAGTCATGCTTCAATAGAATAGTAAGAATGTGATATCTTATTTTAAAGGTTTGTATCTTAACAAAGCATTTTCAGATGAGTATCATTATCATTTGTATTTTTTATATCACTCATTTATCTTAGCATTTTGATGAAACTGTTGATATCAGGCACTGTATGTAGTAGAGGAAAGATAAGATAGTTGATCACAATTTTGCTATTTCATTAATATAAAAATATATACTTTTTTATGATACATGTATTTTATTACATGATTTTTCATATAATGAGTTTATAACTGTCGTCAACTCTCTTAGAACGACTTAATAATTAAAGACTGTTTGTTTAATGAAGTAAAATATTTTTTTACATAACAATATACACATTTTCATTTTCATGAAAATTGGAAAGAAATGCAAAATTTAGACGTTTGTATTCTTTTTAAAGCCACTCGTAAAATAATAATTTAAATCACCACCCATCATTTTAAGCAAACTACATATTTTGTTGAAACTAGCAATAATATTTTTAACATCGAGTTTAAAAAATGATTTGTTTGGTGTTGAGTGACGCCATCGACAGCGTTTAGAATAATTAATCCTAAAAAGGCTTGATTTAAAATTAATTTTAAAATTAATCTTAAATAGTTTAATCACTTGAACAAGTGTCTCACTTTTGAAAGAGTTGGAACACTGATACCATAATTATTTAGATTATTACATAAATTGTTATAAATACACAAAGTATTGTCGTTTCAAATGAATTGAAATAAGTATTAAAAATGTAACGGATCTTCGGAGAAAACAAATGAAAAAGGTAAACGAAATGATTGCTTTTTGAATCTAATAAAATAATTCCTTCTAATATTTTTATTCTATACTACAATGATCGCTACAAATCATTATATTGATATATTGCTGATACTACCTTAACAATAACGAAATGAGGAAATATAATCAATGCATTAATTATAACTGCTTTGTGATTATGTGTGCCGTTTGATTAATTCCATCTCTTTCTTATCCTGATGAGGATAAGTTATCGTCACAAAACGATTAAATGAAAGTCATTCGCAGATTCGCTAAAAATACGACTCGAGATCTGTTGCTTGAATGTGCCCTTCGCAAACTAATACTGCTCCATTCAAAAGTCAGTTCATAATATTCGGGATATCTCCATAGACTAGTAAATAAGTTTTATCATTTTAATAAAGAACAAAATTTTTTGCTTAAGTATTTCTATTTCACATCTCCAATTAATATCAGGTTAAATCTTCTAAAGAATCCTAAAAATCCTAAAAAGAAATCTAAAAATCTGTCTTTACGATAATTATTTAGTGACTGATTCAAGAAGTTACATTACCTAATAGATTATTTCATTATTTTTTCTTGTTAGCTTTTACTTTTTGTGTAAGTGTTTCTAACACAGAATGTTACACAATTTGGCCCCCCTACATTCATATGACGTTAAGGTGTAATGCTAAAATGCAACACACGGATGTGGCATTTTAATGTTACGCAATCAGCATTTTAGAACCGCGCGGAAAAAAATGAAAACATCCGCGCGGTTAATCGTGTCGCAGCGTAGGAGCGAATACGGTCGGCACACTGCAACTTCAGTTGCCATAGACCTACATTTACCAGGGGAACTCCCCAAGTGTTACGCTCGTTCATTTATGAAACTTTGCTACCTTATAAAGAACATTTAACAGAACATTCATATAGCTCATTTTGGAGGCAGACGGCTAATTGTTTAAGTGATATTAACAATTAAAGGCCGTTACTGTTTAAATTCTGAAGTAAAATGCACAGCGTATAATTTTTTATTCAACAGAAAGAAAACAAAAAAAAAATGAAAAGTAATATATTTTATTTTTATGTCAAAGGTGTGACGGTTCGTTGGAGGAACTGGGAAAGGTTCCCTAAGGTGGAGGGCAACTAGGAAAGCAGCTCTCCACGTACCACGCTCACACCCACGGACGATTTCTTTAACAGGGCGCCTAGCTGCGAGGGGTCCGCTTGGGCGGAGGAGTGAGGCCGGCAAGCTGGAGGTTTTTCATAACGAGGCATAGAGAAAACAAGAAAAAAAATATACCTCGTTACAAAGGTTACAATAGCAATAAAACTATCATTTTTTGGTCACTAACCTAACCTAACCTAACCGTTATATTTTTGACGACTTTTCGCCTTTTTCTAGATTGCTTAGAACGTACAATGCAGGTGTTTTAACAAATAAAAGGTAAATAAATACTAAAATATTATAAATACTAAAGTATTATTCCATATAAATTGCTTTTACTTCAAACTCACATATTTCTATTGTTATAATCTTATAAACCTAAACTTATATTTCATTGAAACATTTTTATTTCATATTTAAATATTAACTATTCATGGCAAGTAAAGACAGATTGAAAAGAATTTCGCAAAAATTACGTATAATCCGCAAATTCTAACTATTGCTCGCAAAATGAAAGGATTTACTGATTTGTTTTTATAAGTAAATTATGCCATTTTGAAATTGTATTTTCAGAATACTCTATAGTGAATGTCAGTAATTTTTATAAGTTTGATGAATTTTATAGTACGATTTAATGCATGAAACATGACAAATAAACATTTGGTAGATACAAATTTCTGGTGAAAGAAAAAGTAAGATATAGTAGTACATTAGTAAAAATACTGTGAAGTTGACAACTCTTATACAAGGTGCGATCATTAAGTTCCGGGACTGGTCCCGTATATGCAGATAAAGTCACCTGTTTCAAATTTGGCTACTATCCCCTTCAAAGTACACCCCTTGGGCAGCTATGCACCGATCCCAGCGCCTCTGCCATTTTTGGAAAGCTTCCTAGAAGTCTTCTTGTCGAAGCGTGTCAAGCATCGGCTGCGATTCGCGTTGAATCTCGTCCACCGTGTCAAATCACCGTGTCAAATCTTTTAATTTGATTTTGGGAAACAAAAAGAAATCACAGGGTTCCAAATATGGTGAATACGGAGGGTGAGGAAGGACGACCATGTTCCATTTTTTTTTTGTGTCCCTTTGTTCCAATTTAGAGTCCATCGTGATTTCGCAAAGGAGAGCGTGCGTATACTACCATAAATTTGTATAGCACAGGATTCAATGAAGACATCGCTTCCAAACTTCGTATCATATGTCTCGAAGATTGTTATTCATATGTCCTGCGATCACAAGTCAATCGTGTGATCCGTTTGGTCACAGCAGACACAATCCCGGAACTTAATTATTGCACCTCGTATTTCCCACGTTAATGAAAATAAAAATTTTTTATATGCGACATAAATAATATCTTCAAACAGATCTCAAGATTTAAGTGCACGCATGATTGAAATGAAAAGTTTCCAGCAATAAGTATGAGTCGAATACAGATGTAACCGGTGTGAACAAAAGAATATGCACAAATCGTATACAACCTGTTCTTGTTTGGCTTAAAACTCGATAATGAATAAAGAAATGAATAGGTCTACTTCTTTACTTTTGAAAAACTGTACAAAACTTTAGTTTCATGAATGAATAAAATAACATAATTATTGTAAAACATAAATATCAACCACAATAAAAATTATTAATAATTTGTAATAAGATTATAATTAAGAAAAATAAAAATATAACAAAATAAATGTAACTGAGAAAGTTTGTGTGTTATTCCTATGCTTAATGTTTGTAAAACTTGGTGGACTTTTTAAAAAAATGTAATAACTGAAAGGAATAGAAAAGAAAAGTTTTTAAAGTGTTATTTGATCTATTTAGTAACTGAAAATTACTTATATCTATTAATTACAACAAAATGAATACTCCAGACTGCTTAATATTAAATACGCTGTACGTATCATATGTGAATATTTTGACAACCAGTAATTTAATATCACGTATATTCACATGATTTAAACACTACAATGAAATACTTAATTTCTTAACATTTTATTAAAATAATCACAACGGAATCAAAAATATTAGCTTTTGATCACCACGATTTGTTTTGTTCCAATATACGCCATCAAAATGTGAGTTTGATTAAAAATAACTACAGATCGTCAGTTAAAGCTAATAACAGCAAAATGTGTAACGTCCCCGAGAAAGTCAAACGGTCCTGTCGATAAATAAAGAAGCATCTTAATACGTATATCTTTTTCTATTCTATTACCGACCGCACCATAAAAATTCGCGTGGTAATGGGATGCGGTAGTTCACGCGAGCAACATTGTTTAGAGTAGATCATCGATCGATGGCGCGTGCGTTAGTTAGAAAGAGACAGTAGATATACTTCGAAACAAAGTTATTATAAATTATTATTTAAATGTTTATGTTATATATATTATTAATTATTCACTCATTATAAATTGCGTTATATTTTTAGCTATTATTTTATGTATTGTTTGCGATTAATTATTTCTTCTATTGAAACACTTATAATTTGCGTATCTAAAAATTATTAAAAATACGATTTAATGGGAAAACTTGTGAGAAACTAATTAATAATAAATCAAAGCGTATTTTTATTAATCAAACTAATATATATTTGCTACTAAATAAAGCGTAATAAAATAATAACTACTTTTTGAGCGGGAAAAACCCATGATTCTCTGGGTATAAAAGGGCGTGAGCAGCGGCTGCGAGCGCAGAACAATCTTTGAAGTAATACGTGCCGGACCTCTTAGGAAGCGACGAACTGGAACAGTTTTAACTGGTAAGAGCCTACAAGATTCTTAGTTTTGACTGGACAGCGGGTATCAGCCATTTGGATACTTGATCGTTGGGTAATTCTAGCAGCTAGCTAACGCAGGCTCCCCGTTCAAACGATCTTGTCTCTGAAACTCCATAAGGAGAGTGCTATGCACAGCCCCAGAAAGAACTAAGACATCAACGAGAGCTCACCAGTCACTCATATATATATATATATTTCTTGTTTTTCTAAATTATTAACTCGCCGTCAGATTCTCGGAGTTCGCTCTGGGTAGTTTAGTAGCTAGCTAACGCAGGCTCCCCATTATTGAGCGGCTTGGTCTCTGAAGTCCGTGTCTTTTGGGTGGCGTTTCAGTAACTTCAATAAATAATTAGAGTCGAGTCATTTTTATTTGCAACCCTGTTGGTCACACGTCGGTCACTTGATTCTTGCATCGTTGGGTAATTCTAGCAGCTAGCTGACGCAGGCTCCCCAATTAAGCGATCAGGTTTTGGGTGTCGATTTGTGCTGTGTCAAAAAGGGCCATGAAACTAATTAGTGTAGAGTCAAACAAGGAGTAACTGTTCTACGTCCAGTACAAAATTTAGAGTTGTTGTAAATAACCAAATATTGTTCTGTCAGTTTTGTTAGGATCTAGATCCATTATTAAATTGCGTTATATTTTTGCGTTGCGTATATTATTATAAAACTGCGTAATTGAAGTAGTTAGCTACCGTTCTGCGATTCGCGACAACAAGTCTATTATACTCCAATTTGCTTATAGAACTCAGTCATACATACACCTTTATATTCGCTAAAGAAATTGTTAATTATAACTCTCTTTCTCATCATTACTTGAATAAACCTAATTAATGAAAGGTATTAACCTGTAGATTTCACTCTTTAACCACACGCCACCACGATCCCACATTCTTTTAGAATTAGTTGTGGTAAAAACGAGTCGCTTAATAGGCAAAAGCCGCTCTTTGCTTCATAAGCGCTATAAATACCTGAGTTTAGTCGCAGGGACGTTACAAATGTTTAAATACACTTGAATGTAGCGGCTGACTTATTTATTTGTGTGCCGTATGCACGTCTAATTTTCAAACTGAACGAGGCAGATTGAAATAAACTGATTAGTACGATGTCAAGTAATTGATAAATATGTAAATTATATTAATATTAAATCGGCAATGAACTTAAAATGACCATTCCCACTTTTGAAATTGTTTGAAATGTTACGAATGAATCACTGGGTAATACATTTTCTGGATAATTACGTTTAATGACTTAAATAACTCAGCGTTTTATGTCAGTTAAGTATTATATAATTGGTTTCTGAAGCAAATATTATTAACTGTGTATTTTTAATTGAATTGTTACAATACTGCAATTTAAATACGCGACGCTTACAAGAGTTTAGTTCAATTTGTCATCCTGAATAACGATCAATACAATTGCTATGATGGTAATACACAATTATGTCAAGCTAATTCCAGTTTTAAGGTGTGTAACATCACCGGAGAAATTTTTTGTTTTTCGTCTCCATCTTGGCAGTCTTACTTTCGTTCCATTATCCAAAGCTAAATCAGTTTAGTTATCGACACCATTTGTTTATTATCGACAGTAGCACATTATATACCAATTATCATATGTATTTAGTTCCACCGCCGCGTCCACTGTAACGCTACTCACAATTTTTCTCCCACTTGCAGCCACCTTAAGAAAAAAAATTTAGAAGAAAATTTACAGGGTATGAAGTGCACAATAGATATAGTAAAGCAAATTTTGAAAACAGTATGTTCCGTAGGCAAAGTCAAGGTCATCTTGGGTTTTTTAAATAGGAACATACATTTTTAATTGTGAAGTAAAAGACTGGAATATTACGTGATGGAAGGCGGCATACATTTTGAACATGTGTAACAACCCTGGAACCTAAGTTCAGCTAGTTACAAGCGCTAAAAGGTAAAGAGCGGCTTTTACCTCTAACGTCTCGATTCTACAAATTAAGATTGTGGGATTCGTGTGGTGCGCGGATAAGGAGTGAAATCCAAAGATCAATATCTTTCAACAATTAAATTTTATTCAATAAGAAATGAAACTATCATCTACAATAACAACAAAATAAGAGAAATACATAAATTATAAATGATTAATTAGAGTAAAGAAACTAAATAGATTAATAATAATAATAATAATAATAATAATAATAGAAATTATACATAAGATAGACAATGATAGAAATAATAGAATTTGCTAAATTAACACTAGACAAATGTGACATGAAACTTGTATAAAGTTAATAATGCTAAACGCTCCGCAATCTACCGCCGCGAGGAATTCCACCTAGGTTGAATTCTCTAAACGCACCTAAATACGTTTCGCAAAAATTAGACAGATTACTATCTAATGCGGTGTAGTCGACTACGGAAAACGCCAAAGTGAGAACAGTATTCTTATAGTAGCTCAAGTTACCGAACTTTATCTGACTCTAATAACTTATTTCTTCGGAACAGTTACTCTTTATCATCTGACTCGACAACTAACTGTTCATGACCCTTTTTGTCAAAGCGCACACTGACACCCAAAACCAGATCGCTTAATTGGGGAGCCTGTTGTCCACTGGCTACTAAACGACCCAACGATCCAGTGACCAAGTACCCGAATGGCAAACACCCGCTTGACCAGTCAAGGCTTAAGAATCTGTTGGCCCTTTAACAGCGAAAACTGTTCCTATGTATTCTTAGAGAGTTGTAACTAGTTCGACTTCGAAGACTGTTCTGCCCCGAAACGAGTTTCGCTCGCCCTTTTATACTCGCAGGTCCGCAGAATTCCTGGAATTTCTGTGACGTCAGAATATCTAAATTTCATATAATTTCGTTATTATACATTAATTATAAAATTGAACATGTTCTTATAATTATTCAATTTGAAAATTGGAAATATAGAAATTAATAGAAAATAATGTTTGACATCGAATTTAATCGTCAACAAACTTTCTTATGTTTAAAAAAATATCTATTTAGTATTAAAATTACATTGATATTTTATTATTCATTTAATATTTGGAATGTGACGAAATACATGAATAGATTTTGATTTTAATTCTGTAACTATAAATCTTACCTAAACATCATTACCTGATTCATCAGGTAGCTATAAATAAATTTCGTTACTTCTACAAGAAAACCCGTATTAGAGTTACAACAATGTTTATTAATAATTCGAATGCACTTTCTCTATATTTCACCCTCACTTATTACATTGAAATTTATCAGTTGTACTCCTTCAAATTTGACCTGTTTTATCAAATGAATACAAGCGGAAATAATACTTTCTTTGCCTATTACCTATGAAATGTACTTCTACTAATGAATTACGGGGGTCAGCCACCTGTAACCTAGGCCCAGATGTTAACAACGTTCGTGAGGTAAAGAGCGGCTTTTACCTACTGAACGACTCGTTTTTCGCAAATAATTAAATCTAAAGAATGTGGAAAAATGTGGAAAAATGTGAAGTTGCTTTTCACTTTGGTAGGATAACCATTATTTGGTTCCAAAGAGATTACTGAATGTAAACATGCGACTAGAATATAAGAAAAAATACACTTTATTTAATTACATGTGTAACGTCCCTGGGGAAATCTTTTTTCTTTCTACCGGCATCATCGCAACAATCTTCTATCCATCGATTAGAATAGTCAATTATCGACCGTAGTTGCCAATTATCGACAGTACACTAGGTATCTATTACCATATCTATCAAATTCGACAGACGGTAATCAATATATATATATATATATATATATATATATATATATATATATATATATATATATATATATATATATATATATATATATATATATATATATATATATAT